GAGAAATGTAGCCCCTTCTTATACGTTGAAATGACAGTATGACATTTTGGCGCATAATGAATACTAAAAACCTTTTGTGCTTTGCTGATATGGTGAGATTTGATTTGCGCCTTTTCTAAAATATGGCAGAAAAGATTGCTCTTGCAGAGACAAAGCTAGCTGCATGTGGGAGGTGTGCTTTTCTGCTGAAGACTGCTGGTGTTTGTACATGTTTTTACAGTGTTAGTGCTGTGAGCTGTAGTCACAGGTAGACATGTAAAGCGTGGCATCTTGGTTTAATGTGACAACCCAAACTCACACTCTCACAAACACAGGCCTGCACACATTCAGTAAGATCAGAAGCCACAAAAAGACTGAATTTATTGTTCAAACGTCTATGTGTAAGTGAGCATTGCGATGACATGCTTATGCATTTGATATTGCTCCTTGAGATCTAATGTTTACCCGCTTTTGTTAATAGGCCATAGCACTAGCATATATAATTACCTACGGAGATGTTTTTGAAATAGTTGAGCCGGAAAATCACAGTTAGCCAAATTTCTAAGTGCAAGTTCTTTAGGAAATAATGCATGTATGTTTATTTATCTAGGATACCATTCATAGATTACACATCAAATCCCAGAGATGCTTAATGGGTGGGAGTGAGTCATGGCACATGTTGAGTCATGGGACTTAACCTGAATCTCTCAGGGAATGTTTGTGCATTTATTTATTTACATCCAATGAAAGAGCATATCAACAATTCTAATCCTCCCCCATGCATTTCTGTCAAAAATTTAATATGGCGCTACTCTGACTGAAGTCTGTTAGTGTAACATTTCTTCAGCCCAATTTGTTTTAATAAGCTATAGGTTAGTTTTTGGATACAGACACTTGGCAAAATCATGGTCATCCCTCACTGTGCCAAAGTAACATATACTTTATACTTTAGCGGTTGATGCTTTGCTCAAAAAGACAAGTGCTACCTACAATGTAAAGAGAGCTGTCTTTCTTCATAAGCAGAATAAATGCACTTGGGGTTAGCAGAAAACACAGAACACACATAACAGGGTTAGTTCTTCATTTCAGTAAGAGCAGTCCATGTCGTCCATAGGCACAGGATTAGCTAAGCCAGAACATTTGAGCCCCCTCCCAACCCAAGCCTTCGCCCGGGGAAAGTTTACCAGCAGGGCACCGTATCCTTTCCCCTGTGTCGCCATCTGCTCATTCAGACTCCCTTTCTCCCCACACTGGAGGCTGCCCTCTCTGCGCCGCTTTTGACGTGTGTGATCCAACAGGAGCCTTTCCTGTGAGGGGTGTGTGAGTGTGTGTGTAAGCGGAAGAGCTATGTGATATCACTTTCATCTGAGATACAATTAGTGATAATCAAAACAGGCCTGCTTGCTTTTGAAAAGGACAGAACACAAGCTCAATACATGCAAATTGAAGGAGAGTTTTATATATATTGACTTTTAACAAAGCATATATATATATATATATATACAGGTGCATCTCAATAAATTAGAATGTTGTGGAAAAGTTCATTTATTTCAGTAATTCAACTCAAATTGTGAAACTCATGTATTAAATAAATTCAATGCACACAGACTGAAGTAGTTTAAGTCTTTGGTTCTTTTAATTGTAATGATTTTGTCTCACATTTAACAAAAACCCACCAATTCACTATCTCAACAAATTAGAATACTTCATAAGACCAATAAAAAAAACATTTTTAGTGAATTGTTGGCCTTCTGGAAAGTATGTTCATTTACTGTGCATGTACTCAATACTTGGTAGGTGCTCCTTTTGCATGAATTACTGCATCAGTGCGGCGTGGCATGGAGGTGATCAGTTTGTGGCACTGCTGAGGTGGTATGGAAGCCCAGGTTTCTTTGACAGTGGCCTTCAGCTCATCGGCATTGTTGGGTATGGTGTCTCTCATCTTCCTCTTGACAATACCCCATAGATTCTCTATGGAGTTCAGGTCTGGTGAGTTTGCTGGCCAGTCAAGCACACCAACACCATGGTCATTTAACCAACTTTTGGTGCTTTCGGCAGTGTGGGCAGGTGCCAAATCCTGCTGGAAAATGAAATCAGCATATTCAAAAAGCTGGTCACCAAAAGCACCAAAAGTCGGTTAAATGACCATGGTGTTGGTGAGCTTGATTGGCCATTGATTGGCCTTGATTGGCAAACTGGCCTGACCTGAACCCCATAGAGAATCTACAAATTCACAAAAAAAAAATTTTTATTGGTCTTATGAAGTATTCTAATTTGTTGAGATAGTGAATTGGTGGGTTTTTGTGAAATGTGAGCCAAAATCATCACAATTAAAAGAACCAAAGACTTAAACTACTTCAGTCTGTGTGCATTGAATTTATTTAATACACGAGTTTCACAATTTGAGTTGAATTACTGAAATAAATGAACTTTTCCACGACATTCTAATTTATTGAGATGCACCTGTATATATATATGAAACCAGGGCTAGTTGTCACACAATGAAGTTGTCACAGGGGTTAGTGTATATATTTGTAAGTACATTATAAGGTTTTGAGTCAAAACTCCAACTATGCTAGCAGTGGTTTTATACAATGTCTTAAATACCTAATTCAGAACCCTCTAAATTGATTTTTGAATGAATTCTAATAATAAATATATATAGAGAAGTAAACTATAGTAAAATAATGCCAGTGCGTTACACACATAACAACACATCTTAGGCTCTATAGATTTCGACTTGATATAGAAAAAATTCTTTCAATATTATGAATATTTAAGCAACACTGTTCAAAAACACATGGCTGATAATGGGTAAATATGTAATCCATTAGCACTGGGTTTCTTTCCAAAACAGTCTATTAAACATATACTTATGGGAAAAATGTGTCTCAACCTACATTTTTGCAAAACTCAAAAAACATACCTACAGTATATTACCTATGTATCATTTAGTGTAGTTTCCAGCTGAAACAAACATTATTGGCATTAAAACACCATCCACCTTTTTTATTCCATTTCACACAAATAGTTATTTTTAAAGATAAAAAGCATAATACTATATTATGAACTCAAAACACTTTTTTTGTGCATGATTTGCACAGTTTGACATTTGGATCATATAGCCAGCTCCATATTTATGGCTTTTCTGACATGGTAAATTTGCTCAGTAGCGCACCTGGTACAGCATTGCACTTGTGATGAGAAGCGCTTGGGTATGATTTCCATGAAACATGTGCCACGGTAAAAGCTCAGACTTGTAGAAGCATGCTAAAATAATTTGCTCCAACAAGTGAACTTAAAAACGTTGTGGCCAGTAACTTTCTTAACAGCATAATCAACACAGAACAATTATCCACCATCACAGTAGCTAATTTAGTAAAGCACCAACACTGTTGTAATTGCTGAACAGGCTACACATGATGATTGACACTACCATTTTATTATTTCATCATTAAGATTTTGAATCTTTATGTTTAAGAAAGTGGTTCTAGCTGAAAGCTAATTAGTTTTCTTGAGACCAAAAAATTAAAATAATAATAATAATAATGACTGTATTTACTGTATGCTGTTAAGATGACCACTAATGGCTTTCATTGGTTAATCAGTAGCTATTTATGTCATAATTATACAGTGTGTACAGATCAATTGCTGTATTCATTGTTCTCTTGTTGCACTATGTTCCAAGTCTAAGGCAATTTAATAGGCTGTCAATGGACTGGCATTTTTATCCATATTTCATATAAAGTAAACATTTCACAATAAAGTGACCAAAGTGATTTATTTCAATAACAATAAACAAAGTTATTTATATGTAAAAAAGTCACTCTGATATGCAATTTGTTGTTTAACTATGTAGTTGCTTCAGAGTTTTTAGAGCAGTGTGCAACTTTGGCATCTCTAGTACTTTGTGATTTTGTGTAATAGTTATACCAAGAATGTCTAATTCTGCTCCTAGTCTTTCTATTCCACTGTCCTGCAGACAGTTTAGCTCCCACCTTTGTTAATCCCACCTGATCCAGTTAATCAGGCTCTTCAGACCCACTAGGACCTTTCAAGCAAGTGTTTTGGAGCTGGTTGGAGTTGGCTTGAAACTCTGCAGGACAGTGACCCTTATACATTATACCGTTATACAGTGACCGTTATATATTAGCCAAAGAATGTAACCACACATTCAGAAACTCTTATCCCAACCTGTCCCACATCAGAGTTAATACCCTTTGGCATCAGAATACCGATCAGGCATTGGAAGTTGGTAGCCCAATAAAAGTCCTCCATTCTGGACCATAGAACAGTGTTTCTGAGTTCTGCTCCTGGAGGCGTTTGAGGTGTTTTACTAATCTGACGTGGCCCATTCAGGCCATTAAAAACTCTACTAATGAGCTCATGAGTTGCAATAGGTGTGTTAGACAGGGATGTGCTGTGCTGCGGGCCGACCCAGGAGCAGGATTGTGAAATACTGCACTAAAACATCATGCAAAGATAAATCTGGCTTCAAGTCATGTCAGAACGATCACATTTACGAGATGAATACCTCATAAACCACAATGTCATAATTACCAGTGGGAAACACAGGATTGTTCATAAGCGGCAACTGTTTTGAATTGGGGACATGCCGATTAGAGATTCATGCCAGAATATTTATACAGTATGTGGTAGGAATTTTTTTGTACTGGTGCTTGCCAAGAAATAAAAGTAATTTCCCATCGTTTTCTGGAGATACAACAATAATAAAATACATACTGCATGTGATTCTAGTCGCACGTTATATTAGGTGGCCTTAACTACTATGTAATCATTTGATACAATATAATTACTATGTACTTAAATGTTGATGCATTGTAATTACATTGCATTTAATTAACATTTGTATTTACACGGTTAACATTAGCCCCAACCCTTACTCTAATACTAATCTTAACCCCAAACTTACCATTACTCCTAAACCTATCTCTAACCCTTATAATCCTAACCCTTCCCTTACTATTAAACCTAACCATACCTTAAACTCATTAACAGTAAATGCGATAATTTTCTAGAACAACATGTAGGTAGTACACAGTAAATCCATAGTCTTGTAGGTATTTAATGTTAGTACAGAGTAGTAGGGCCACCTAACATAAAGTGTGACTTATCTTTTGCTTTTACATTTTGTTGCACAAGGGCTTTTTCATTGTAAGTGAAATATCAAATTGACCAAACATTTTTTTTCTCATATTAACATCATATAAACACCTCACATTTCTAGGCTCATAAGTAATTTATTCCCAGGATGACTTGAAGGGATGAGACAGAAACAGATTAAATGTCTCATTAGCTTGCTGGTGAGTGAATATTTCTGGAGAAGAACACAAGACCCACCTAAGCCAGATGGTCGCTGATGAGGGCTTTCTTCTCCTTTTCACACTTCAGTCTCATTCATTTTAGACAATGTGTGCAGTTGGATCTTGCACTCCGAATAGAGTAATGGGCGAAGGCGGCATGGTACTAGCCACGGCATATGTTGGCAAATAACATTGATTGTTTAACTAGACAACCATATGCCCAATTTGTTGAAGGTGAGCTTCCAAAAGAATAATTCCTTCAAGTGTCCTGCAGAACACTGTATCCTGAGTCTGGACTTGCCATTGGGCACATAATGCCAGCATGCATCTATGAGGTTGGCCTTGCTATCACAATGGCCCCTTCACATCTGTTCACCTTGCTAATGTTGTTCAGCAACATGCCAGCTTCAATCTGTAGAGGCATCTGAGCTACTCCTCTAGCCTCTCAGCTCTGTCTGTCTCACAGATTCGTACCTAAACATTTACTTTTTGTTAGGAGAAATTGTTCCACAGACTTTCACGAGATGTCACCATAGAATGGCAGACTTTTTGTAGGGGAAAAATCCCCTGGAGCATCCTAGAGTTGAGTGTCTTGCTGGAGATGGCTCATGGCTTCCTTCTTGTGGAATCAAACAAGGAACCCCATGGCTAGCAGCCCTGGGCTTTACCACTATACCACACCACCTCTGTGTTGAACGTCCCTTACATGTTGAATGACACCTTGTTTAACATCAAGGACCTGTATATACGTCAGAAAGAGGGACAGGACAATATAGCAAAGAAACTGTGAGAACTTGGATCTGGGATTAAATTGTGGGAACTCCTGCTGGAATTTAAAAGAAACTTTGCTAAAAGGGATGTTGGACAGATGCGTTCAGTGCAGCATGACATTCACACTGGGGATTCTGCAGAAAGGTAACAAAAGCCCAACCATGAGAGACTGGTCAGCTAAAGCTACCCAGCAGCAGTTCAGTAGTTTGCTTAAGCTATACTGTAGCTTTATATTATCAGATGTCTGTTTGTGCATGACTGATTCACTTTTTACACCACTGTAACAAGCAAGACCAACATATCAAAACCCTGTACTGCCTTCGAAAAAAGCACTGACTGAGACCCCAGGTGTTTAAATATGTCTGTATTGCATAATCAAACCTTAATGTCATTCATATTAACAGGATAATAGCTGTTTTCTCTAGGAGTATACAATGAGCTTGGAAATTTTAGAGAATTTCTTAATTCATTACAATTTAACTGAACCATATATTTTTTGAACTATTATGATATTTAGTCAACTAAAACAAGACTAGACCAAACCATTCAGATTCAGTTTTACAGCTGAAATTAAAGATATTACACAATTTATTAACTTTGCAACATTAACGCTATTTTCCTGTTTATTTTTGTAAAGCTGCTTTGAAACAATAAAAAAATATAAAGTGCTGTATAAAGTGTTACATTAATTTGCTGTATAAAGTGTTACATTAATAAATGTAACTTGGCAACCTTTACATTACCGTAGAATGTTTTTATAATGTCTTAACTGTGGTGACATATATTCTTCATTCTTTAAAGCAGACATATATGTTTGTATAAATTAAACACATTAATCCTTATTAAAGTGATTCAGTGATGAGCAGTGAGGGATTTTCTGTTTTTATTATTTTTATTATTGACATTAAGAACACAGACAGTAGTATATTAGGATGCTGTCACTTTAAGACCTAATGCACAGATCCAGTATACTGATACACATCCGATATTCTCCCAGCTGTTTACGTTCGCTTAAGACATAAGCGACTATGTTCACATGAATGCTCACCAAAATTGACATTTTGACACACTTTTCAGTGTATTTGTCTAATCAAGAGGGATAGTTTGCGAAAGAGAACTCAATTCTGTACTCCTACACGGTCAGAGATGCAGCTTTCTGTGTGTGTTGTTCAGGTGTGTGTGCACAGAAAACATTACCAAAGTTATTCAAATTCATCCAAATGTCTGCTTTTCCCTTATTCCCCCCGACATTAAAGGGGTCATATGATGTGATTTAAAGTTTTCCTTTCTCTTTGGGGTGTTACAAGCTGTTCATGAATAGATAAGATCCCTAAAGTTGCAAAGACTAAAGTCTCAAACCCAAAGAGATATTCTTTATAAAAGTTAAGAGTCAATCACACCTACCTAAAACGGCTCGTTCTAACATGCCTACGTCACTGTGTGGGAAGATTTGCATAACACCGCCCAAATGTTCACGCAAAGAAAGAAGGCGTAACTTTGATTCTCGCTGTAGTATTGTTGCCGCCGCCATGTCGTGGAGATGTTGTGAAAGCGAAACTACTTTGTTTGGTCTTCCAAAAGAGGACACAACTAGAAATCAGTGGTTAAGTTGTATTTACAACACTGTTCCAGAACAGATCAACCCAAATATTCAGATGTGTGCAGCGCATTTTACGGAGATCTGTTTCCTGATCCTGGTAGAGTAGACTACAATGCCGTCTACACACAAAGGCTGTTTCTATTAAGTGGGGCAATTCCAACTTTGCAAGGACAGTCTGGCGCTTCTGACTCACAGCCTGTAAGTATGTTTTCATATTAAAACAATTTGCCACTGACGATTCAAACGCGAGTTTTGGGCAGTGTAGAGTAGGGCTTGTTGTTTGTCATTTCTCTGATCACAAATGCAGACATGGTTTTATGTTTACGCGGCGTGATGCAATGCGTAAAAAGACAGTATAAGTCATTAAAATCAGTAATTATGTCCCCACTGGATGCAACAAATGCCTAGTTTATAATGGGTTTTAATGTTTTTGTCTCTTCGCTCCGGCCGGGACACAGCATCACAGTATGGTAAGGGGCGTCACATTTCCGTCACACGCTTGAGGTATTCGGCCAATCACAACGCACTGAATAGCTGGCCAATCACAGCACACCTTGCCTTTCAGACCGATGAGCTTTGTAAAAATCTACACGTTTCAGAAAGGCGAGGCATAGAGGAGAAACAATAATGTACAGTATGTGGAAAATAATGTGTTTTTTTAAACCTTAAACCGCATAAACACATTTCATTACACCAAATACACAAAATAATGTTCTTTTTAGCAACATCATATGACCCTTTTCTGAATGTTTTTGAGACTTGCAGCAAGTGTATGCTAACTTATGTCCTGCCAGGTAGATTAGTATGTTATAATTCAAATGTTCGTATCTAACCTTCCTACCACGCAAGAGACTAGTTCTGATTGGATCTCTTTCCAAATTGTCCCTCCCTAATATTTTTTCATTAATTGATGAAAATGTCAATAGATTTTCAGCATGCTTTTTATCATTCATAACTGGTTTTATTTATTTATCTTCTCGTTTTCACCAGTGAAAAAAATGTTGTTGACGAAAACTATGATGAAAATTATTCATCGACTAAACTATCACTGCCAGCAAGTTTCAGCATGATTTAATAAATGTTGAATTCATATACACTTTGTTAGTATATTAATTAATAAAGCATATGAAGGTGGTCTGGGAGAAGTGTGTTCAAGTACAAACAATGAATTCTTCAGCGGTTACACTTTATTTTGATAGTCCACTTTAGACATTCTACTAACTATAAGTAACTTTGCAACTACATGTCAACTAATTCTCATTAACTTGCAACTACATGTCTAATAACTCTCAGAGTAGACTGTTAGGTTAGGTTTAGGGTTAGTAGAATAAGTTGACATACGTATACTTGCAAAGTTTCTCATATAAGTATGCTGTATGTTGTGGATCCATCAAAATAAAGTGTTAGAAGATATTAAGCAGACAGTCTACTAATACTCGTGGGTGTAAAGGTTTCTCAGGTGCAGTCTGGGGCCGAGCATTTAGTACATAGCTGGAAATTCAGGCAGACAGAGCACTGACGCTGTACTTTACACCATGCATTTGCTATCACAGCATGACCTCTGCTTTTCCTTTGACCGGCAACCTGTCAATGGAAATTTGTACATGTAGGACCATTATGCAGTGACCTTTTCAACCAGCAATTTTCATCCTAAAAATGTATTTTCCAATTATCTTTTAGCATTTTCCCTGGCACGCATAATGAATTCAAATCATTTTGCTTCCGAGCTTTTTTTAAAATGCTAGACAATCAGTGCCGCGGTATAATTTCCTCTGCCTGAGGAAATCTTTGGCCAGTACGGCTTCCTTCTCCTTTTCAGCTATCAGAAAAGCCCACTGTAGATCATTTCCTTAAATGTGTTCTGAGTTTTCATTGTAGACAGTACAGATCCTTTAGAAGAAAAAAAAAAACTAATTAACCTTTAGGTGACAGAGCACACTTTCGTCCTGTACTGTTGTTCCAAACACAGAGCCAGGAAAAACAAAACCCCCATCTCGCTAACACATGCGTTACCTGAGCTACCTACACTACCTGGCTCTAAATCAATGCTTGTGATGTAAAGTTGTGTTAGACTGAGGAGGTAACCATAGCAACAGCACTCAGCTTGAGCAATTTCCATTAGGATCAGTATGGGACGGTACACTGGCACATACAGTACTGTTATTATGTATCACTTTATTACAGATTTATGCATCATATATTAAAAAATACATTAAGTAGATATTATAGCTATCCTTTAAAAGCTGACTGAAAGTATAATATGCGCACTGCTCATGAAACAACAACATGCTGCATTGAACCGAACAAGCTTTTAACCCATTTATCATTTAATGCAATGCAAAAGGTTACAGTACAATTTCTTGAGTCTTCTTAGTTGTCTCTCGGTTCAGGAGGTGGTTTACTTGTAATAGATTATTTTATTATCACACGGTTTT